AATTATAAAAATGCCTCTCATATTATAATTTGCTAAAAGTACTATAATACCCTCTTACCATAACTACAAAATATCATTTTTTATTACTTTATAATTACGTATTAAATTTTAACATTCATACAATTATATTAAATGATCCCTTTGGAAATGATCGTAATACCCTTTTAGTTACTTGACAATTGAATGATATGCATCCAAATTAACAATAATGCCCCTCCTTCTATAATTAATTAAAATTACTATAATGCCCATCTTAATATAAATATTAAAAAACTTCTTTTTACCATAATTGGCCAAAGTCACTGTAATGCTCTACAACTATAATTACGAAAATGCCCTCCTACCATTATTGATCAAAATTACCGAAATGCTCATCCTACCACATTAAAATTATTTTTTTCTTAAAAAATTTAAGTTGAACGGGTGTTGATATTAGTAGGCTTTGAATTTATGGGTGACGGGTTTGAATTTGATAATTGATCAATGTTGGCAATAAGTAAATATTGTAGCTTGGATTGTCATGTATGTATTATTAAATTTTGATTTAATTTATATAATTTTTTTAAAGTAGTCTCTCTTATTTAAAATAGAAGTTGATACCTATCTAATTACAATTGAGTGATATAATTTAACCATCAATATTTTTGTTTTTTAAAAAAATTATATTTTCCAAAAAAAATTAAAAATAACAACAAAATACTAAAAAATATTTATTTTTTATTATTAAATAAAAATGATGTAATTTATATTTCATCAAAATAAAAAAATTTATAACCTGGGCATAGCCAGGTAGTTTTGCTAGTACCTATTAATTTATAAATTCATCCAAATTAATTAGCCCATTAATTGAAACCCAAGTTCCTACCATGTATAATTTTATCTTTTGATAGCCAACAAAGCCACACTTTTTTTTTTTATTAATATGGCTAGGAGAAACTACAAATGCTTTTAGATATAGTTATCAAAATCAGACCAGACCGTTGGTTCGATTAGTGGAACTATAAGCTAGTGTTGAAACCAATCTGGTTCTATAATTAGATCGATTTTACTATTAAACTACTTTAAATCATTATGAACTGGTTATTTACATAATAAATCAGTAAATCGCATAGTTTTTTTAATCAGATTGGTTTAATACTAACTAATAAGTTTATGCAAAATATAAAAAAAAAAACCCCTTTAAGTATTTCAAATAATCTAATTAAACCCTTATACTACTATTTCATCTAAATAAGCTTCTTAACTCTTAATTTCTACTATCAAAGCCCTAGTATCCTTATATTAATAATATGATGACATATTTTGAGATATGCGGATTATGACATTGTAAAAAAACTTACACATGTAAAAATAAGCAATTTAAAAAAATGATCTAACAAAAAATTTTATTAATTGATACCATAATTAAAAATAATTATAAAATTAATAATGTATAAAATTCATAAAAAAATCAAATGTTAATAAAAATGATTAATTATTTGACTATGAAAAAAAATAATTAATAAAAGAAAATTATATGTAAAATTTAAAAAAAGTATACATTCATATAAAAAACATAAAAATGATTTTAATTTCCTTTTTACTAATTTTCATATAAATATAAATATTTCCTTTTATTAATTTTATATATAGATATTTCTTTTTTATTACATAAAGATTAATTATTATATATTAATAAATAATATTTATATTTTAATAAATATAAATAATAATTATTATTTATAATTATTTATTAGTTATTAGTTATTATATTTATTAAAATATAAATATTATTTCTAATTATTAAAATATAAAATATGATTTTAATAAAATGTTAAGTAATTTCATTTCTAATTAGTAATTCATTGTTCTATGAATTTTATATTTTAAAATTTATAGTTTATGATATACCTTAAAAATTTATAATTTTATGGTTAAATTATTAAACCATAACTTGAGTTAAAAGTTTGAATGTTGAATTTTTAAAAATTTATATTTTTTATAATATTTTTCATCAAACTAACAATTGACTCAATTAACCCGATAATTAAATCATTAACCTGATGATCTAAAATTTTGAATAATTTAATATTTGATCCAATTTTAATATCCATGTATTTGGGTCAAAAAAACAAGTGAAACTACCAACACAGTCCATAAAAACAATGAAACAAAATGATTTCATCCTATGAAAAGGGTTTTTAGTTATCTATATTGTACAATCAACTTGGATAACAATGATTAATAAAAGTGTTGGTGGAAAAAAAAAAGAAATATAAATAAATTTAAAGTTAACTCAATTGCCAAGTTGGCAATTTGGCTACTTAAGAAATTATATGCAATTGACATGGCTTAAACAATCCCATTTAAGTTAAAAAAAAATTTAAACATACTTTTTATTTAGAAATAAAGATTTTAATGTACCTCCTTTTGGGAAAAAAAAAAAAACTTGACCTATTAATTAGTTTTATTAACTCTCTATATAAAATGTTAGCCAAAATCTAATATGGGAGATTAAAATCAGTGATTAATAACGTGGTTAGTGACACTCAGAATGTATTCATTAGAGGCAGGCAGATTTTGGATGGCATCCTCTTGACAAATGAGGTAATTCATTCCTTTAACATGAAAAGGGATGGTTATGGTGAGAGTATTTTGAAATTGGACTTTGGAAAGGCAAACGATTGTGTTAGTTGTAGGAATGGTATAGGGTTGGGTTGAGAAGAATTTTTATTTGTTTCAGCTTTATAAAATTAATTTATATTTGATTTTAATTTAATTTGATATTAAAATATTATTTTTTATATTTGATTGGATTTATATATATTTAAAATCACAATTCGATTCAACTCAAAATTAATTTAATAATTTTAATTTAATATAATATTATTTATTAATATAAATTACATTTTAAATATATATATAATATTTTTATTAAATTAATATCTTAAATTAAAATATTCAATAATAAATAAATAATAAAAAATATTACATATTGGGTTAGACGTGAGTTTACCTATAACCCAATTTCTATTAAAAAAAAAAAACTTGATCTAATCCGAAATCTGATTTATATTTAAAAAAAAACTTTGGATCAGAACTTGATGAATTTGCATAGATTTATCATCCCTAATTGGGATTTTTTGGATCAGGCAATGGGTTTAATGGGGTTTGGTATCACTTGTCGGAAATGGATGAAGAATGCATTTCCACAGCTTGGGCGGTTGTCATTACATGAAAAAAGGCTAAGACAAGGTGATCCGTTACCTCCTTTCCTCTTTATTCTGCTGACTAAAGTGATGCACTTGATGCTTGTAAAAGGCTGAGGATATGAATCTTATCAAGGGTATTTCTTGCTCCTCTTTTTTCACTATATCCCGACTTCAATTCGCTGATAATATCGTTTTATTTTTGGAGGCCAATGAGACCGCTTGGTAACGGAGAAAAAATTCTTTATGCTTGAATTATTTCCTGGTTTAAGAAAAACTTTTGGCTTGACAAATCTTTTATTTATGAGTTAAATATAAAAATGACTCACGTATTATATATCTTTTGTCAGTTTAATATTTAAAATATAAAATTTAAATTTAAATACTTAAATTTTTATTTCATCAAATATTTTGATATTTTATATTAATATCATTAGTCAAATTATTTATACGATGTTAGTACCAAATAAAATTATAACATATGATATAAATGTCTTTCCCTCTCTTTTTTTTCAACCTTTTCTTTTTGTGTTTTTTATTAGTTTTTTTATATATTTTTTTAAAAATCATATTTTAATTTTTAAAATTTAAGAAATTAGATTTATTTGTCTATAATATTAAAATTTTATTTTTTTAATAAATTTGACGTTCCATAATTTTTAGTGTAATAAAAAATAATGAATGATAATTTTGAAATATAAAAGAATAAAAGATTTAAGGGTTAAAAAAATATATAATTTTGATATAGCTCCAAAAATGAAAAAAAGGGGACAAAGGGGTGTGACAATTTGCTTTCCTAGTGGGATACAATATTTTGTATAAAAATTATTGAAAAATGAAATATTGAATTTAAATAAATAAGTTTTTTAAATAAAAGTTTGGACCTAAATCCGTCTTTCATTTTTTGTTTTTTAAAATTAGAGTACTTATATTCTCTTAAATATAGATGTAATTAAATTGAATTGAGATAATGTGAAATTTGATATTAAAATTTATTAATTTTAATTCAACTTCATTCTACTCAATTAAATTATCAATTCAAAAAAATTTTTGATTCCAATTTATGTTCGGATCTTGAATAAACTTTATAACTACCGAATTAAAGAAGTTAAATTTATCCGACTTTTTATTTGAACTATTATTTGACTTTTTTTTTTAATTTAGTGATTAAGAGACAGATTAAAAGTCATATAAGTGTGAGTTCGATTTCGTTATCCACTTCCCTTTTGTAAGGGCACTAACCCTTTTTTATAAATAAAAAAAAATTATTCTTCAAACATAAGATCATAACAAATTAAAAGTTTTTTTTTTTTATCAAAGCGATATCAAAAAAGTTCTTTTTTTTTTTTTCATTACACCAAAGAGTTCATGAATGTATAATTTTATTATTATACACTCTTAATAACATATTATATATTAGTATTGAGAGTTAATTTTGATTTATTCATTTATTATTTTATATATTAAAATTAATTTTTATAAAATAAGACAAATATTGAACAAATTTCATTATCAAATTAAATCAAAGTTAATGAACACTTTATAAGTTAAACTTTTTCAAACCATATTTATTTAATTCACATGTCCAAATTTTCTTCAATCAATAATTTTTAAAATTTAATCAATATACAAATTATCTGATAATAATACTCTGTTAATAAATAAATGAATTTTTGTATATAATAAAAAATATCAAATATTTTTATCATGCCATTAATTTTGGGGTTATTATAGTTTTAAGACAAATATATATCTTCCGACAGATATCATGGTTCCAAACCACAATATCTCCAACTAACAGATTACACTCTACGGGCTTACAGGGCATCACGTAGGATAACAGGATCGGGCTTAACTCGACCATGCCACATCACCACGATTCTAAACTTGGCCGAAACCTACACGTCTCCCCTCACTCTGACTTCATTCTATCCTCCTATCAATCAAGACCGCCCACGTTCTCATACCAGCTGCACTGGATCTCTTCATGTCACCGCCCCAACACAACGAAACCCGCTTCTTCTTTAGACGACGATAAAAGTTCCTTGACTAGAAACCCAACAAAAAATTCCTTAACCGTACTTCAAGCTACTGGATTTCAAAGCTCTCACCTCTCTGTCTCTTTTGATTTTTCTTCTTTTTTTCTTTTTTTCTTTAAGATTCATTAAAGAATAATGAATTTTCTTCAAAAAGAAGTTGTTTTAGGACTTTTTTTTTTGAGGTAATCTTGTGAATCTTGCTATTTGTAGAAATCGGTTAGTGGCAAATTGTTCAAATAAGGTAATCTGAGATGGGGTTCTTGAAATGTTGCAGGAATCAACAGAGATCTGCTTGTGCACAAGTTTGGGGTTTTAGAAGGATTTGAAACTTCACATTGGCTTGAGGCAAGTGTTTTCTCTTTCTTTTCCCAGTTTTTTAGTTAGTTTAAGTACTTGGTATTAGGCTGTTAATCAAATTAAATACTTGGGCTTTGAAAAAACTCAAAAGAAAAAATATAATGAATTTTTTACGGGTTTTAGGTAAAGGTTCTGAATTTGAGAATTTTATAAGATTATCCCTTTAGTTGGATTTCTAATAAAATTTGGAATTGTTAGCAAATATTTATAATCGGGTGAGTTATCACTTTGATTCTTTTAAGATTTTGGTTGCCATTTAAAGTTGTTGGAGAAATATGTTACTAGGCTTTGTATTGGTGAAATCTCGACATTTAAACTTATATACGGGCTTTAGGAAATTTCTCAGTGGGTTGCATTTCAGTGGTTATGAATTGAGGGGAAAGTTAGAAATGGCGGTGGCAAGCAAAACTAGAAATATGCTCGAGGCTTTGGTAAAAGAAGGATCATTCAAATGGTTACTTAGCAAGCGAAGCTCCTTTGCAGAGGAATTTGAGGAGCTGGAGAATTCTCCATCTGCTGGAAGAAATTGGATACCTGAGCTCTCTCCAGTTGCAAATATTGTTGTGCGCAGATGCTCAAAGTAGGTTTCTTCTGCTGCTACGTTGTTATTGCTGCCTGCATGTTATAATTACATAAATTCTTTTTGCATCTTGTACCTTAATCTGATTTGAAGTTGTTTTATTCCATTGGGTTTTCATATGTTTCTAATTCAGCCTATATGCAAATAAGAATAATGCAAATTGCCTTTTGACTGCAATATATAGTCTATTGTGGATAACAAAAACAAAATGATGCAGAATCCTTGAAACCTCTTCAAGTGAGCTTCAAGAAAGCTTTAACGCTGAGGCATCTGATTCTATCAAGCATAAGTCACGGTATGCAAGGAATTTTTTGGAATACTGTTGTTTCAGGGCTCTTGCTCTGTCTACTCAAGTAATGGGTCATCTAGCTGATAAAAAGTTTCGACGCCTTACATTTGACATGATGGTGGCCTGGGAAACCCCAGCAGCTGCCACCCAATCTCTACTTAATGTAAGTTTGCTCTTTTACGTCTTTTTTTTTTTTGGGGGGGGGGGGGGGGGGTTGCGGTGGTTTGATCATCTTGCAAACCTTTGGCATGTATGTTTGCTTCTTTTTTTTGTTTTATCTGTGGATGCATGCTACATGTCATTTGTGAAAACTCTGAATGGTCTTATATCTTCTGTAATTAAAAGCTCTTTTATTGTACACATAAAAACTGTTCTCGTGCACTTGGCAAATGGATTTTCTAATTGTCATCATATTGTCTTGCTTGCAGTTAGATGATGATCTGTCAGTTGGTGTGGAGGCCTTCTCTCGAATAGCTCCGGCAGTTCCAATCATTGCCAATGTGATTATTTGTGAAAACCTTTTTGAGGTTCTTACAATCTCAACAGGTGGCCGACTTCATTTCTCTGTCTATGACAAGTACCTAAATGGACTGGAAAGGTATGAACCTTTACATGCGAGTTTCCTGTATGCACTCATGCCCCTCCTTTTTTTCCGTTATGGTCCAATTGTGTTTCTACTGCATTATTTTACTGTTCGAAGATAAGTTCTCTGCTTGGCTCACAGTCCTTGAAGGTTTAAATAACTTAAAAACCAGTAACTAAATACTAGGCTATATAGCCAAGCTAGAGGAATTCTAAGATAAACTCTCAAACAATATTAAAAAGGGTTTGTGAAGTACAATCAATCATCAGAGAAAAATCAAAAGCCTTGAACCGATATTCTTTTACAAAATATAAACAGTTCTTGGAAGGGGCTTGGGGACCATATTAGATGGAATTGAAAATAGTTTGTCCCATACAACTACAGGTACAAAATTTTTGTGAATGGAATTGAAAATAGTTTGTCTCGTACACCTTCATCATCAACAACAACAACACTCTAAGCCTTATATCCCATACTCTAGGGTCGGCTGTATGAAAAACCAAATAAGAGAATCAAGTTAGGTTGTAGTTTGAATCTTCTTGCACCATTCATTTCTATCAACAACCACCTTTTCATCTAATTCCTTAACCATCATATCATTTTTTATTACTTGCATCCATATCTTTCGTGGTCTACCTTTAGATGTTTTGATCTCTCCTAGATCTAGAGACTCATTCTCCTAACCAGTGCACAGCTAGGCCTACGTTTCACTTGTCCAACCATTGCAAACGGCCCTCTCATCTTCTCTTCAATTCAGACTACCCTTAATTTTTCTCGAATCTCTTCATTTTTTATTTTGTCTCTTCTAGTCTTACCACACATCCATCTAAGCATACTCACCTCCACTACGTTCATTTTCTTCTCATGTTGTTTCTTAACAGCCCAACACTTAGTGCCATATAGTAATGCAGGCCTTACAAATGTTTTATAAAACTTCGCTTTTAACTTTAAAGGCATGTTGTGATCACACAACACACCTGATGCATTTCGCCACCTCGCTCATCTTGCTTGAATCCTATGTTTAACATCTACTTCTATCTCAGTATCACTCTGCATAATTGTCCCATACAACTACAGGTACAAAATTTTTGTGAGAAAGGGAGTTGCAGATTTGCCAAAGTTTCAACCCCTTCTCTCTCCCTTTTTCACTCTTAATTAACACTGACACGTGACATGGATTTTCCAAAGTCTGATATGTATAAACCCACCAATGTAAGGTGCGGTGGGGGATAAATCTGATATGATCTTACTCTAACCATTGTTGTATGAAGTGAACATCTCAGGAGCTCAACCTGTAGTGTTCTGATTGTTAATCTAAATTTAAAATGTGTTACTTTCCCTTGAATGTGCTTGTGATTGTAGGTGGCATCTGACATTTCCAATGCCTACTGGCTATAATCATTTCATGTTGCATTCTGTGTGATTTTTAAATTGTTCTAGGTTCACTTGTAATATAGCTAACAAAAAAGTTGACTTGATGGGTGTAAAACCAAGTCTAGTTCACGCTAGCTTTTTGGGTATGGCTTCTGCCAGGAATCATGAAGGAAAAACCTGTATATGAACCTCTACCCGATACGTTTTGTGGGAAAATTTTGTCCATAGATCATAGTGCCCAATCATGTAGGGGCAGAATTACAGATAGGGAGGGACAATTATTTTTCCTTATCAAAATGATGACGTCTCTGTAACGTTAGCGGTGATGAAATGTGAATTATTCTTGATAAAGGAGACGAACTTGGGTTGAACTTGAAGTTTAAACCGCATGATAGTTTATTCTTGGTTAAAAGATTTTGTTTTAGTGCATGATAGTCAAGGTGGTGTGCCATGTCCTTTCTTCGTAAATTACCTGGTTAATCTCTTTCTTATGTTTTTTTATTGAATGAATCTGATGGATAATCTACTGGCTTAATCTTGACATTTTAGTTATACTTCACCTCAACATAGTTGAAACTCATATGTCAGGTTTGAGGGGTTTTATAATCCTTGATAATACTTGTTATGATGTCTTAACCATAGGATATTATACAAATTGACAATGAAACCAAAATTTTAATATAGTGGGATAAAATCATTAACATTCTCCCTCACATGAAACCCTTATATTAAAAAATTGTAACAAATAGGCCTACAACCAACTTGGCCTCTAGTGTCATGCTAAGAATTTAACTAAAACCAATTGGTAGTGGTATGTTACATAGCACCAATAACATGATGAATCATATGATATGCAAAGTTCTCCTCAGAAGCATAGTATAATATAGTTACTCTCCATATCTATTGGCCATCTGCTCTGTTCCATTGCTGATTACACCTTGTTATTTGAGTTTAAATTGTACAAATAAGTTTCATGGTACATCAAAGGTCTTGTGATTTGTGGTAGCATCTTTATTTATTAGGCTTACATATCTAAATATGGTATTCTAAAATTTGATCACTATAGAGTGATAAAAAAGATGAAGAGCCAATCGGAATCATCTCTTCTGTCTGCTGTTCGATCATCAAGAGGAGAAAAGATTCTCGAGGTGGAAGGGACAGTCACTACTCAACCGGTTCTTGAACATGTTGGAATTTCGACATGGCCAGGTAAGTTGATTGGATGGCAAACATTGTATTTAATAGAGTACTATATGATATCTTTGTTCATTAATGAAAATCATTACTGCAACCATACTTTTTCCTTTCCTTTTGTTCTTTAATTCTCTCTCTTTGTTTTGGTAAATAGCTTAGGTTGTTGATTACCATATGGCGCAATATGTAGCCTGTTTCTGAGATTGTTCTTGCATGTCTGCATTCTGCAGGTCGATTGATACTGACAGACCATGCATTGTACTTTGAAGCACTTCGAGTTGTATCTTATGACAAACCAAAAAGATATGATTTGTCAGATGATCTAAAACAAATTGTTAAGCCTGAGTTGACTGGACCATGGGGTACTCGACTTTTTGACAAGGCAGTCTTGTACAAATCAATTTCCTTGTAAGGCATGATGTTATTTATTTCATTTTCTTGTAACTGTCCAATAGAATTCTGTGATATTTTGGTGTTAAATCAATCATGAATTGTATATCATGCTTTGGTTTTAACATAAAGCTTGTCTGAGAATAGAATTTATCTATTGACTTTTTGCAGTGTTTCTCTTGTAGATCAGAACCAGTTGTTATGGAATTTCCTGAGCTTAAAGGGCACACTCGGCGTGATTACTGGCTAGCAATAATCCGGGAAATTTTATATGTTCATAGATTTATAAATAAGTTCCAAATTACTGGAGTTGAAAAGGATGATGCACTTTCAAAAGCTGTTCTTGGAATTTTACGTGTGCAAGCTGTTCAGGAAATTAGTTCCTCAAACTCTGCTCACTTCGAGTCTCTTCTCATGTTTAATCTTTGTGATCATTTACCTGGAGGAGATTTGATACTGGAGACTCTTGCAAATATGTCAAGTTCAAGGGAATTAGATAGGGGTAACAAGGTTGTGGCTGGAGGTGGCATGTATTCAATCTCAGCCTTGGCAATGGTTTCAAACTTAGGTTTTGTGTTTGGTTCAAGTAATCCCAGTGAGGCGGGACTTCTTGTGGGTGAGGTAGCTGTGGGTGAGATGAGTTTGTTGGAGAAAGCAGTTAAGGAATCTAGAGACAACTATAAAAAGGTGGTTCTAGCACAAGAAACAGTCAATGGGGTTAAAGTAGATGGTATTGACACCAATTTAGCTGTTATGAAGGTGGTTCCTTTTCATTGCTCAACTAAAAATAAGTTTGTTAAAAATTGTGAGTTAGATTATCTGTCCTTGTTTATTAAATCTTGAATTCCGAGTTAAATGTAGTAGGTGCAGTTGGACATTGTAAATGCTGCATGTGCGCATTTGTGTCTGTGAGCGATGCCATTAAATAGTATCATTCAGTGTTGGTTGGCAGAGTGATTAATTTGAACTGTATTTTTTATAGTGTCTGCCAACTCATATTATGTTTAATTCTGACTCTGCCGTTCTGTTCTTTCTCCTGATTGTGTTCCCAACTTCCATGACTTGTACTATAGTCTCATTTTGCTTTTTTTATTTTTCTACTTGCAGGAGTTACTTCTTCCTGTGATGGAAGTTGGGAAGTGGCTTCTTTCTTTGGTATATTGGGATGATCCTCTAAAGTCTTTACTGTTCTGTTTGTTTTTCTCATTCATAATTTTCAGGTAAGATACAATTGAATAAACAATTTTTTCTTTATTTTTAATTGTTTGGTAAGTACATGATAGCAAATGAAATACTGTTTGGTGGTATAATGCTAGCAACAAAACCAAGTTATTCCAATTGATATGACATAATTTTGTAAGGTTTAGGTTGTAAAGTTCCTAAACCCCTAATAAGTGTAGGGTTTATTAAGGTATACTTGTGTTTAATTTCCAAACATCACCTTTTGGGATGTATCCTGTGTTGAGTTCTTAAAATCATCACTGTTGGCTTTATCAAAAAAAAATATATATCAATGTTGGCCGATCTGTTTTTATTTTTTTTAATATAAAATCTTGATTCTAGCTGAAGTAGGTCTAGACTAGATTAGAACCCAGGATTCAAAATTATGTTTAGCTTTTGTTTGATTCAGATACTGTCAACTCAGTTACTTAACAACAACAACAATGACAAACTAAGCCTTATATCCCATAACTCTAGGGTTGGCGGTATGAAAAGTTAAAAAGAATCATGTTAGGTCATAATTTTGAACCTTTTCATCTACTTACTTAACCCTCATCATTTTTTATTATTTCACGTCTTTCTTGGTCTACCTCTGGAAGTTTTGGTCTCTCCAAAATCTAGAATTTTATTTCTCCCAACTGATGCACAGATAAGCCTACGCTTCACATGTCCAAATCATGCCAAACGGCCGTCTCTCATCTTTTCCTCAATTCAGATTACCTCTAATTTTCCTCAAATCTCTTCATTTTTTATTTTGTCTCTTTTGGTCTTATCACACATCTATCTAAGCATCTTCATCTCCGTAACGCTCATTTTCTTCTTATATTGTTTAGTAACAGCCTAACACTCAGTTACATATAACAACGTAGCCCTTACAGTTGTTTTATACAACTTCACCTTTAACTTTAAAGGCATTTTGTGATGACACAGGTCATTGTTCTTGGACGTGACATGATTAATGTTTTTAAAATAGTTTTGGGGGGTTTATATCCTTGTTGCTTCACTGTATACCTAATTTGAGGATAGGGCTGTCAACTCTCAAGTTGACTGAAATGTTTTATTTCCATATCACCTTCTTCTGGAGTGTTTTTTTTTTTTTTTTTTTCATAATGCCTCTTAATGATTGGTTTCATCCATCTGCATGTTTCTTTTAAATAATCATGAGTTAAGCTGGTGTAGTTCTGTTGATATCTGGAAGTCATGTAAATAATTTGATTCCATACTTGTTACCTTTGATACTCTCCTAGGCTGGAGAATTATGTCTTAGACATGATTACAATGATTGAAGGGTTCGTGTGAAAGAAAAGTAAACTTTGAAGTGGGAAAAGTTAATCCTTGCTCTATGACTACCACAAGGGGAAGGTTCATAGTCTAGCGCTTTGATAAACCTAATTTGAGGTTGGGGCTGTCAACTGTCAGGTCTGATGAATGCTTCATTTTGAATGCACCTTTGTATGGAGTGCACTTCTTCTAAATGCCTGTAGTGGCTGGTTTTGTCCATCTGAACTCATGATAAATAATCCTGAGTTAAGCTGGAGCAGTTCTGCAGATATCCGGAAGTCAAGTTGTGTAAATGTTTGATACTGATATTGTCAGCTCAGTACTCAGCTAGCTAAAGAAAATGTCTTGGACATGAATACATAGATTGAAGGAAGGGTTTACATGGAAGGAAAGTAAACTTTGAATTAAGAAAAGTTAAACCATGCTACATTACGCGGGGAAGCACCTTGCTTAGTAAAAATATATTGTGTTCTTGTATAAAGAAGGCATATTGGTTGCTCTAAATAGAAAACATTTTAGCATAACGCTAGAGTTTCCTTGCATGAATCATTCTCATTGCAAGTCACATGTTGTCCATTTCAGGGGATGGCTTGGTTATGCCTTTGCATTGATGCTACTGTTTTTTGCAATCTTTATGGTTCTTACACGAGTTTGCAACCAAGGCAGGCCTGTGGATGAAATCAAGATAATAGCACCTCCACCTATGAACACAATGGAGCAGCTTTTGGCTGTTCAGAATGCAGTGTCTCAAGTTGAACAGCTTATCCAAGATGGAAACATAGTTCTTCTCAAGTTTCGTGCCTTGTTGCTGTCCATTTTCCCGCAGGTTGTACTCCCTACTTTTCACCATAGTAGGATCTGTTGGTTTGTTGTCTTTAAAATGTTTAGCAATCTGTCTCATTGTCTCAAAATTTTCAACTTAAATAATCAAATAAAACTGATGAAACTAATCTTATAGTCTTCTGACGGTGACGTTAATCTGCCAGGCAAGCGAGAAATTTGCAGTTGCTCTTCTGTTTACAGCTTTGATAGTGGCTTTGTTGCCTAGTAAGTACATGGTTCTCCTGATCTTTTTGGAGACCTTTACGAGGTTTTCACCTCCAAGGAAAGCAAGCACGGAAAGATGGTTGAGGAGATTGAGAGAATGGTGGTTCAGCATCCCAGCTGCTCCTGTGGTCCTTGAAAGAGAAAAGGAAGATAAGAAGAGAAGGTGATGGTGTTTATTATTTTACTGTATATAATTGTTTGTGTATGTAATGATTTTGTATCACACAAGTCTAGAAATGTAAATCTCAAAAATGGAAAAAGAAAGAAAGAAATGTGTTTGTGTTGGAAATTAATATTCTTGGCTTGGTGGCTCTGATCTTGATGGTGAGCGGCTTGGCAAGATTTTCTCCTTTTTCCAATAATATGTTGCTTTACTTAATTTGTTGGAGAGGGGAAATTTTATTTGCAACATTGTATTTACTCTTCACATTCATTTTTTAAATATAAGATTTATATTTGATATATTGTATTTTATACATTTCAATGAATAAGATGATAGTATTTCATTAATAAAATAAATTAAATAATGTTATTTTATTAATGAGTAATTTTTTAAAAAAATATTAATTTTGTATATTTATTTTAAAAATTAATATTTATTAATAATATATAAAATTTATTTATAATGTATAGAATTTATATATTGATAATGGATAAATTATAATCCCTTAAATATAATCAAATTTTAAATTCATTTTCTCAAATTGCTCAACAGAATCAAATTAATATTACATTCATTTACCTTTTGGTCATTACACACCAAAAACACAAAACAGTTACTCTCTCTCTCTCGTTTCGATAGCTGACGGATAAGTTTTCTTCTTTCGAATTTTCGACAGATATTACGTCCATCTGTGTTTGAAAGCGAATGAATATATGCAAACACGCTTGCTGTCAAAAAGAGAGGAATGTTTTGTATTTGACTAACCCACTAGACCTAATTAATTCTTCTTTTTCTATAAAAAAAAAAAAAAAAAAAAAAAACTCATTAATTTTTGTTGGACTTTTCAACACAACATTGGACTCTTCAACATAAGAAAGTTGGGAGCTTCAACGTTGCTTAACTGCTTTAAAAAATAAACATTGCGTTTGAAACCTAAAGGAAATAGGCATCCATCTATGTTCAAACACGGACAGATATAGATGGATTTATTTTTAAAGTAGACGAAGTTACGCATTCTTTCAATTTTAAAATCAAACGGCCGTTCAAATTAAGTCTGAAAAAAATTATAAGATTAAAAAATTATTTTAGCAAGAATAATTAAACCATTCCCTTGAAGGTAATTTTATAAAAAAAATTATGACGATAAAAAGAAAAAATTTGACTGCATATAAAATTTCCCAGAGAAATTAAAAAAAAAAAAAAAAGAAGAAGAAAGATGAATCAACTGGAAACATATCTCACCTTTACTTTGGAAAGGATTTTCTCAATTTATCTTCATAAACTAACACACGAACTCGGAGCGCTATCAAAAGTGCCTTCACTTTGTTCTTAATGGGACGTTACAACAATTGCAAGCTTCAAACTCTATTTTGAGATTCCAAAAAATTACAAACTTAAAATTAATTAGGCCTTTTCAATCATTAGAAACTTAAGTTTTTTTTTTTTTATTATTTTGGAGATATTTAGTTCAAATTTTAAAATTTTATTCTTGGAAGTATGTTGAGTTCGAATTTTTGGATAAACTGGATGGTGAAAGTGTTGGTTCAAATTTTGAAATAAATTGAGTGGGATTTACAAGATAAAAAAAGTTATCTTTCATTTATGTAATCAAATTGTATGTTTCTTAGTTAATGGAGATTTTTTATTCGAATTTATTACATGGAAGAAGACTTTCTCTTGTGTAATCTAAAATCATAAAAAAAAAAAAAAAGGATTAGGATGAAAGCTGCAAAGAAAATATATTATCAGATAATTATTTGACAAATTTTGATGCTTAATGTCCTTTATCCTCGCAATGAGAAATGCAAATATTAACTGCAACATCTCTTTTCCTTTGATTTTAGTAACAAATCAATCTCTAATTTTCAATATTTTCAATTTCCATCAGAAATATTGGAAATGGAAGCTTTCTTCTTGTTGACAAAAGAAAACATGAAAATTATAAAGATTATAGCAATAGAGATTTACTCTCATCCATACAAACAAAGTAATCCATAAATTGACAAGAAAAAATAAACATTAAATCCCATGCATGTAAAAATTTATTCCTCACGACGAAAAAAAGAAAAAAACAAATATATGGTTCCATGAACAAAATCAGAACCCTTATTTGCATCATAAGACCAAATAATTGAAACTACCCCAAAAAAATTAATAAAAATAATTAATGAAGAAAAGACTCAAATGATTTTCCTTTTTAAATTAATAATCACGAAACTCATTAATCCCCTCTAACCCTGAAGATGATGAAATAGAGCTCCTCATATTTGGTGTGAAAAACAAAGAATCAGTGTAATTATAAAAAGGCTGATGATGATTCACGCATAGAAAATCAGCCGAATTTGGGGTAAAAACTGGAATATTTGTCAAAAATGGAGCTGGTGGTGGGTCAAACAGAGGTGGCACAAAACAAGAATTCACTTGTCCTTCACAGTTTTCATCTGTTATAACCGATGATGATTCATTATCATCATTGTTGATCCTCTTGCTGTCTTCCTCGGTCGAGGCGGTACCGTTCTCCGTCTTGGGTTGATGAGGCGCGTGGTGATGATTATGATGATCATTTTCATTACGTGAAAGTCCTGTAAGTTTTTGCACCAACGCCATGAAATCCTTGGGGTGGGTGTGGATGACTTTGGGAGAGTGCGTGTAGATGATGACAGGGTGGCGTTGCTGTTGCGGCTTAGCAGAACCGGTGACTCCCAGGGAGGAGGCTGCAGACGATGATGATGATGAGGACGATGATTTTTTGATCAAGTGAGAGTCTTTGCTGACTTTCAAGGGCGGAGGGCACAGGCCACCATTACCGATATTGGACGTGCTCTCTTTCTTTGCATGGCGGTGGTGATCATGAAATTGTGCTGGGCTCATAATTTTTTTTTTTTCTTCCTTTTGAGAGGCAACGATAACAAAACAATTTAATTAAAAAAAAAAAACAGAAAGTGATTTTAGGGTTTGTTCATAGGATTTGTTGTTTTACTAAATAAATTTGTGGGTTTGGTTTTTTTTTTTTTTTTAAATTGATTTACGGAGAAGAAAAATCGAAGGGATGTAGATATTTATAGGAAAGTACGGAAAAAACCAGGTGTGGATGTCACTTACCAAATTTGTGGAACAGAGGAGTGTTTTTACTAAATTTGTAACATTGAGGGGTATTATGGTATTTCCACATAGTGAAGATGTCGTGGAAATCAACAAGCAAAGCAAGGAAGCAGTTGGCCCAACAGTCACTCTTAAACACTCAGATCTGAACATCCTTAAAAAATAAATAAAAAATAAAAAACTTGTTATCGAATGTTCCGGTAAATCTCATCTTTTTCTGAATGTTTAAGTTGACTGTATCTCCTCTCCAATCTATTGGATTCTATGTGAAGACTACAATAATCTCCTTCTTGAAGCTTTCACTTTGGCTTGGTGTTTTTCTACTAGAGAAACTAGCTTGGATTATTTTTTTGAAGATAGATAACGGTATATATTATCATTTTTGTTTTTGTTGTTTGTATAGAACTGAAATCCAGTTCATGATCAATTTGACCTCAGATCTCAATATTATTTTAAAATTTATTGACCTGTTTGATATTGCAATTGAAGTTACATTTGATTGCAAGCATAATGAGATCAGTTTCAGATAAAATTTTGATGAACAATACAAATTCGTACTTGCAATTGACTACTCTATAAAGAAATGTAGTAAAAATTTGCAGTTGATATACTCTCAAGTCCCAACACAATGTCAATTAAGATAAGAAGTTGGGATTTAAGATCTTGATCGTAATAAATTTATCTTCAATTGTAATTTTTAACCTAAATTACTAATTGTAATGGCAATTTCAATTGTTACATCTTTAAACTCTTCACTATTATTTATTTTTAATCACTTAAAATAAATTCATTTGGTTAGTTTTCAGAGTTGGTTATTTTTTGGATTTGAAATTTAATCAAGATAGTTCATAAACAATCATTAAAATATGATATCAACATGTTTAAAATACAAATTTTATAAATGATATTTAATAAATTTGAGATTTAAATTTTAACACATGTAACTTTTTTCTATTCTCGTACTATGATTTCTTTTGTAAAAATAAAATTAAAAAAAAAACTTCAATTGCATTGAAGTTTTTTTTTTTTTTTTTCTTAAATTCAATTACAGCGAGTTTGTTATATATGAATCGTAAAAGTAAGGTTGTTACTTATTTTGGAGGGGGAATGAGAGTCTTTATGATAGTGGTTACACATATATATTTGTTTATCTTAATTTTAATTAAATTTATATTTGATGCATTATCAGTATATCAATTTTATATATTGTAAGTAAATTGAATAATGTCATTTCATTAATAAGATAAATAAGATATTTGATTTATGTTCTTAATGAATAAGTTTTTTAATACATTTATTTTAAATGTTGATATTTATTCATTAATTAAGTGGCTTCATTTGATTTATTAACAATGTATAAAGTTTATACACTAATAATGTATTAAATATTAATTTTAATTTTAATTACATTTCCTATGCAATATATGGTTCAATATTGTCTCATCCTACATATACATATTTTACATTTTAATTACATTAGTAATGAATTTAAATAGATTATGGTAAGATATTGGATTACTAACTTTTTTTGACATAAACTTTGGAATTTCATTACTATATGCAATGTTTATCAATATCAATCAAATCATTCATTTCGGATGACAAATCCTCTACCCAATAAATTTGTTTAATGACCAATAAGGAGTCCCTTTCGATTTTAATCTTTTGAAAATCCATATCCATAGCAAAACTCACAACTTTTATAGCAGCCATAGCCTAAATTATGTCTACATGCCTACCTTTAATCTGTCTGCACACCGTACCGAATACGTCCTTTCTCCAGTCCTTAACCACCACCCCAATCCCTCTTTTATGATTCCTTACATCCAAAGCACCATCAAAATTCAATTTGATAGTGTCTTCATCTGGTGCTTTCCAAGTAGCTCGTTGACTTTGGACTAGGGTCGTTTGCAGCTCCTGCACTTGTTGGTATTCCTCAACATATTCCTGAGCTAAATGCGCAACAAACTAGTATGTCCTATGGACATTATTAATGACTTCCTCATTATGAGTATGCCATATGCCAACATCAGAATCCTTTTTATTTCTCTTAAAATCACCTTTGCACCAACAGAGGCCACCCATTGTTTCGCATCATTTCGTTCCTGTCCCTCAACATAGGATGTGAGCTATGCTTCCTTCCAAACATACACTGATCGGGTGAAGTACACAATCACATGTAGTGTCATTTCTTCACCTTGTTTACATATTGGGCATGTACTTGTTTCTATGATCTTTCTTTCATTCAGCTTGGTGTACACAGGTAAAATACTGTGACACAATCACCATGCAAACACCCTAATTTTGTTTGGTAAGTTTGCCTTCCATATTATCCTCCAAAGACTCAAGACACCTGTATGTTTAATGTATTCTTGGGAAGCTTATGAAATTAGCAGTTTATAGCTGCTTCTCACACTGTATATACCATCCCTACTGTAGTGCCATACTATTTCATCCTGCCTTCTTTCCTTACTGCATGGGATTGCCATAATATCCTCCATTGTCTTTTGTGAAAAGATAGCTACCAACTTTTCCTCGTCCCATTGGTTTGTTGTCTTCTTAAACATGTCACTAACCATTGATCCTCGGTGTTCAGCCTATTTTTTTGGAATAGGGATGAATCTTCCGTCTCTTGGTATCCACGGGTTTCCCAAATTTTAATATTTTCTCTTAATCCCACCCGCCACCTTATGCCTTTCCTCAGTACTTCACGCCTCACACAGATATTACACTATAAATATGATGGACAATGACCTTGATTAGCCTCAAAAAATGAAGACCTGGGAAAATACTTTCTTTTTAATACTCTTTATACTAAGGATGGCGTTTTTCTTAGTAACCTCCAGCCTTGCTTAGCTAATAAAGCTTGGTTGAAAGCTTCTATTTCTCCAAAGCCCATGCCACCCTCATCCTTACTACTACAAAGTTTCCTCCAAGGAAGCTAGTGGATTCCTTATCCATCTTTGTCTTGGCTCCAACAATATCTACTCATTATCATGTTTAGCATGTGGCTCAAACTTTTTGGTAAGAAAAAACATGACATTGCATGTGATGATATGGAATGTAACATTGCTTTAATAAACACCTTTTTAACTTTATCAGATATCCACTTTTAGCACTAATTTTGTACCTTTTTTTGCATTTTATCCACAATCATCCTAAAGGCCCTCTTTTTACCCTTCCCAACAATCATTGGTAATTGGGATTTAAATTATGATCGTAGATACATTTTCAATCACATTATGTTTATCGCGATTGCGAATACAACAAATATTATTGCGATCATTATGGTTATTGTGGTCATGATTTTTTTTCAAATTTGCACAACTTATTATAAAATATAGTAATTATAATTGTACTCATAAAAAAATTTCATGATTTTTAAAGTAATTAATGACACCTTATCTTATTTTATTTATATAAAAAAATTATTTACAATTTTTTAATATTATAGTAAAATATTCACATTTAGAAAATTAACAACATACAAATATTAAAACAATAAAATCATTAATAAAATCCAAATAAAAATATAAATAAAAAATCAAATTGGTATATTAATCATTTAATATTTTATTTTTTTCATCTAAATTATAACATAATATACCTTTCAAATTTACATTAAACTCTTTATCTCAAATTTCTTAGTCAAATTTAGTTCTCAAAACTTTTCAATTTTAACCAATTATTTCTTCCTAAAATTTTGTACCTAAATTTATAAAAAAAAAAAAACCTAATTTTTGTTTGATCAAGCATTGATCGAAATTAATGCCCATCAAACTCCCCACTACACTCAAATATTTCTTTCAATTAAAAGTGTAAAATTCTTTAAATCTTTCCACTCAAACTTTTTTCATTTTTTTCTTAACCCTTGCTTTCTACCATTCTCGCAATTCATCCACCAGCCATGGCAGCTAACTAGCCTCCAAGCTTCCACCATCATCCAACTTTTCACCCAATCATTGTCATGACCCATTTGATTTCTTCTTTGATCCAACCAGCATAGTTCCAAACCCATGCCCACATAGTGCTTATAGATGGGTTTTTGAGATTTTAAAGTTTTAAGCAAAATCTCAGTCTAAGTTCTATACAACACAAATTGGATGACACTTAAATAGGGAAGAAAAAGGTAAGTTTAATTGTTTTATTATTACTTGATTTCAATAAATTTTTCTTGATTTTTGATTGAGCCTATTTTTTTATTGAGTCATTGTAAATCTATAATTTTTTTTTTTTTTTATGTTTGGGGCTTTACTTTGTTAATCTTCATTGAAATTTTAAAATTTTAATGCTTGATGATAAAAAAAATCCATCACATAATGCTTCTATCAATCTCCAATTTCCTTCAAAAAAATGGTTTCCACCAATTTCATAAGAATCATCCTGATCCCAATAGGCAGCTGACAAGTCAGAAAGATGTCCTGCATTTGTATATTCCAAATTAATAAGATGCCATTCCAAAAGTTGCCTTTCCTATGTACTTTAGCTAAGGCATACAACTGCCACAGCTTTTCCAAAACTAATCCTAGAGAAATATGGTTTGCAAGTCCACTCATGTTTTTCTCATTTCCATGACTTTGCCAAGCAGCTTGTTAAAGATCAATTCAATCCTGAAATCGATTTTCTTATTGACAGGCACCCCATTAGGTTTATATAAAAGGCTATTATCTTAGACCTTATGAAGTGGAATAGAAAGTTACCTAGTTAGAACTTCAAGAGGATTGGCATGGATGTCCCCATTTTTTTTCACTATTTTACAAAATCTCATT